AATAAATGGGCCTAGAAACTCGAGCTCACTTCGGTCAGTTAAAGTGATCAGGTGTTCTCCCATGGTTTACTCCTTTATACAACAGAACCGCATTACCTACATTTACATCTAAACCCTTCCTTCTCTCCGACTGTCTCCTAAAATGCAGGCCCATTTCCTTCTAATATCTGAATTTCTCTCAAAGACTGTTCACGGACAGAAAGTTGATGCATATTAAATGCTTCCCGGAAACGTGTATGAATTCTCTATTCATTGCATTTGACTTACACTATAAAAAGTCATGTGCAGTTTAAAAAGTGAACACTTCTTACCACTGCGGGAGGGAAGACAGCCAGAATGCTAGAAGGCACAGGCCAAGTCCAAGCTGCTCTGGAGCCTGGGGAGCCAGCACGGGGGCCCCCCTCGCTTCCTGGCCGGCCCCGGCCCCATGACCATGTGGGCTGGCTGCTGCGGCTACTGTCTCTGGGACGGAAACAGAGGAAGCGCCCTCCTCAGCAGCCGCTGGGACACTTTCTCGGCCTGCTAGTTCTAGGCCACAGCAAGCAGAGCTGAAGAGTCACGAAGGTCAACAAAATTACCGAGGAAGTCTGGGGATTTTTAAAGCCAGTGCACAGTGGTGATCAGTGGTCTGTTGGATTGACTATAACAAAACTCCCCAAACTCCCCTCTACATGACTTTATTCCCCGGCCTGGCACCAAGCATCATAGGGCCACCGGAGTTTCATGGTACCCCGACTTCCCACCTTCTCCAGGTCGGGTTCTTCTGGGCAGAACTCCGTGATGTACCCCAGCAAAGAGTATGACCCACGGGCATGTCTCCCAGGAGGTGCGGGGCATTGGCCTTTTTGTTTTAATGTATCTGCACCCTCCCTGAATTAAAACCAATTCAGAGCCAAGGAAAACACTGGCTGCCATGCATTTTGCCTAGCCAGCGCGTCTGACAGGGCTGACCAGAAGCAAAGATACTTGAAATGTCCTTTGCCACCCTTTGTTGATAAGAGTTGGGCAAATATTCCTAAACCAGCACGCAGACCATAACTGGCACCCCAAACCCAAGCTTCCTGGAAATTCTGGCCATAAGGACTCCAGTGAGGAGTATCATTTCTCTTCCCCTTCGAAGGCTGAGGGGAGGAGGGTGCCTGGCTCGCTCAGTGGGGAGTATGTGATTCTTGATCTCAGGGTTGTGAGTTCAAGCCCCACATTGGGTATAGAGATTATTTTAAAATAAAATTTTAAAAATCTTAAAAAAAAACTCCAAACAACAAGGCTGAGGGGACCCCCAGGCTGAAGCCATCTCTGGGCACTAGCTGTGCTGCCCAGCGGACACCCCTCGCTACCACATGAGACCAGTCACCCCACCTCCTTTCCCTGGCACACCGACAAGGTCTTCAGTCATTAGCACTAGGCCAGTCAACCAGGACACATCTTGAGCCGAGCTCACCTAAACCAGCAGTCGAAAATAAATGCCCTTCCCTGAAAAATGTGTCATGGAGGCTCAGCAATCAAGTGAGTGATGGGTGCTTTGCAAACTCCCACTTCCACTGGAGGCCAACCTTCACCCAGTCCCGTCCCGCTGGAAAGTCGGCCAGGCATCCGCTTCCCTGGAAACGCCAGCTGGGCACCCGCTACCTGCCTGATGACTTGCAAAGTGCTTCCACACATGTTGTCTTACTTGTGTCTCACCTCAGCTCTGTGATGGGGGGGGGGTGGTGTTAGACCCATTTTACAGATAAAGAAACTGAGACCCAGTGAGGAGAAGGACTGGTTCCAAATTGCTGCTCTTTCTCTGAGTGCCTGCCTGGGCAAGGCCGCTCCAGAAACCCTTGGAGCTTGTGTCCCAACCCTCTGAGGCTAATGCATTCTCATTTCCCCCTCGGCAGAGCTGAGCAAGAGGGTTTTTTTCATCCCTCCCAGGCTTATTCCTGCTACCCAGAGGGACAGGAGAACTAGACACGAAACAGAAGTGGCTCGGTGGGGCTCGAATGGCACCAGGTATTCTGTGCCTCCGGGAGGAAAGAGGCTACAGGGGGCGAGGGAGGAGAGGAAAAGGGGAGGAGCGAGAAGAAAACAGGATCTGAGGCGTGCGCTGAATAAGATGCAAGGGAAAGTGGGAGGAGAAAACCCCAATCGACAGCACAGGCTGGGAACCACCCCTGGCAAGGTTTCATCCTTGGGTCCAGTGCCTCGGTGAGGCAGGGTGACGAGAGACCACTCACTGTCAGAGGGTCGGACCCGGCCTCTGCACACACAGCCTTTCCCCTGAGTGGAGCAGTGCTGGGAGGACGGATGGCAGATCCTAGCAGCCAGGTCACCGTGGGCACACGGGGACAACACTAGTCATGGCGCCAGCCTCGCAGGGCACCAGTGCCCGGGAGAGAGCCGACGCCGTGGAGATCAAGGATGGTGAAGGAAGAGCCTTGGTCTGGGACTCGGGTGCTTTCTGAAAGAGACCCGAGTTCACTGGTTTGGCACATACTCTTGGGAAAGATGGGAGGATGATAAAAGAATAAGATTAATTACTAAAACTCAGTAAGTCCTCAGGGATGACAACTGCGAAGCTGAAGATACCGAAGTACATTTCTTAAGACAAAGATGGGCTTTATCAATTCCCATCTCTTATCGCAAAGCTCTTCTATAGCCCATTTCCTTAATCCTTGCAAATCAAACCCTGTCCAAGATACCCTTCCAGATGCAGATTTCTAAAGTGCAGAGGGGCACCTGGGTGGCTCCGTCTGTTAAGTGTCCAACTCTTGGTTTTGGCTCAGGTCATGATTTCAGGGTTGTAAGATCGAGCCCCATGTCGGGCTCCGTGCTGGCATGGAGTCCACTTAAGATTCTCTCTCTCCCTCACCCTCTCCCCCTTCCTGCTACGCATGTGCTTGCTCTCTCTCCAAAAAAAAAAAATAAATAAAAATAATTTAAAAAATAAAGTGCAGGAAAACAAAAAGGAGCAAACACATCAGAAGACCGGATGTGGGAAGCCACTGGTGCTTATGGACAGCAGCTACCTCCAGATGTCCCCACCTACTCCACAGAGATCCCAGCTGTGAAAGTTCATTGACATTGACCCAGGCGTGGCTCTTGGGCCCTGAGAAATCCACTGCTCTAAGTCAGGCAGCCTGGAAGCACTGGACATGCCTAAAAGCTCCTGCTGCTTTCTCTCCTTTCATCCATAGTCTGTGGTCCCCAAACTGGCCTTCGCCTCCATCTACCTCAAAGTAATCTCTCATTCCAGCTACAAAGGACGTTGTAGCTAGCAAGAACCCTCTAGAGAAGTTGGCCAATCCTATCATTGGTCTTTGAAGCCATAAAAAGAGTGAGAGGACAAAAAAGGAGAAAAGTCTTCAAAGTTAAGCAGTCCCTTCACTTTGGCTACGTCAACGGGAATCTCCTTGAACTTGGGTAAAATAAAAAGAGAAATGAGCTGCTAAGCAATTCCTGGCATGTAATCAGTCTTCTAGGGCAAACCTGTCATCATTATTATTTTTTAGTTGGATTCCAGTGGGCAGCCAACATTTCAGGGCAGGAGGTCAGAGCCCAAGAGGACTAGCTTCTTCCTCTTCAATGAGTAGGCTTCAGATGAAAATAAATTATCCAGCCCACCTTTACCAATCCTAAAATCCAAAGCATTTTCAATAGAAGTAGTGGTTTGGCACCCCTGAGAGCCCCAAGCGAATGCATTCCTGCCTCTGGACTTGCCTATGGGAGTCGAGCACAAACATTTACAGGTTAGAGGAAGAGAGAGCAGGGTTGGGGTTCCTCTGTGACGACAACCATTTATTGTCAATAGGGAGAAGAAACAAATCACTCAAAAAAAAAAAAATTCCACGTTCACTCCCTTCCCCCTCTATTTACAACACCATAGGAAATAGAACTAAAAATTCAGCTTAGAGGACATGCACTATTGCTCACACGATCCCAATCCATGGCAGATGAGATCAAACTCGAGAGCATCTTCTCGGCCACCAAGGCCTCAGGCCAATCCAAACCTTGGGGTGTTACTGAGACCCTTCACGCGCTGTGTTGATCTGAACCAATGGCCTTTGGAGCCAACCAACAATTTAACGGGATTTGGAAAGCATTTACCGGCAACAAATGAGAAATGATCGCACATGTCTCTGAGCCACTGGGCAGAAGAAACGCCACTTCCATGAGCTACGCCCCAAGGTTTGATGCTCTTGAAAATGAAGAGGGAGCAACTCCACTGTTCATTTATCCAAAGTCTGGGACTCATGTCCCCTCTGTGGTTCCAAGCACTACTGGACTATTTCTAGAGGAAGGGGAACAGGCCTACGAGGAGCTACGGAGAAGCCGGATACCTACTGTGGGTCTTCATGCACATCTATCCTGCAGCACAAGGTCAAAACAAGGGACAGCTGAAGAGATTTGGAAGACAATCATCGCATTTCTCATAAAAGCAACACAGAAAGGAAAACAAACGTCAAATGTATCAGAGAGCTATCCCTCACGTTCGCGTTGATAAACTTTCCTAAACCCTTCTCAAAAGCAGCTCAAGGTAAAAGTGTGCCCGAGTGACAGCAGAGCCACACTCACTTTCCTAAAAACTGCTAGAGATTTGGCAGACCCAATCTCTGAACTGAGATGCCAACCGGAGATGACCGTGCATGTGGGGATTTCCAGGTCACTGACTCCTCCCCCAACCAAAGGGGTTGGCCTTGGCCTCCACTGCCCAGGAGAGGGGGTGTGGCATAAAGCTGACTCCCCAGAGACCCACCCACCCAGCTGGTGCTTCCAACCTATGACTCCTACTCACAAAGGGGCCCTCCTTCCTCCCTTCTCCCACCTTTACACCTCATGGCAAAGGGAGAGAGCTGGGGGAGAAGAGACAAAAGAGCCTACATTCACGATTTTAAAAAACTCTTCCAATCATAGTTCATATTTAAAATTGCTCTGATACAATAGCTAAACCGGAGATAGCATGGTGAGGCTTTCTACTTTTCTCCTTTAGGAACCTGAGTTAAAAAACGAAGAAGTCTTACCCATTTTTGAAATAGAGGACATGGGCTCTCTGAAGTCCTGTTTCTAGGAAAAAACCTAGTTCTTGATCGTGGGGAGCAGGGCCAGGCTTAGGGCTTCTGTTTTGAATATTGGTAAGTATTACCTGGAAGGGGAGAAAATCGGAAAACTAATCAGATCCACATCCAAGACTACTCCTTTCAAACCACATCTCTAAACGCGCTGCACGACCTGACGGATCAGCTTCCTCGCACCAGCATCGGTGCATGGGGACTGGTGCAGAGGTGGGTGCGAACACTAGGAAAGCCGGGGTGTGCCCAGCTCTCCTGGCACGGAGGGCTCAGGACTGAAGGGTGCTGAGGGGTGCACAGTGCCAGCGGAAGCACTGAGGCGGAGGTGCTCTGCTAGGTACCAGGATGTGGCCAGAGAGGCAGAGTGAGTAAGAAACAGGTCCCGGCAACAGGCACGAAGAGTCACCGTCCACCGATGGGCGAGGTCACAGACAGGTGGGCCAAGGCTCCAGCCCTAAGTAAGCTTGATGAACCCAAGGAAAGCTAAGCTGAGAAGCGCCGTGACTGGCACTGGCCCCGAAATTCCCCAGGGAGGGCGTGCTCTCTACGCTTCAAAGCCAAGGCCTGTGGACTCTCAAGGGGACTGCGGAGAAAAACAAACTAAGCTCTCTCTCTCCCAAAACTTGATCTTTTGTCAACAGATGATGAGCTTGTAAAGGTCTAAATGTTTAGCCCCACAGGAAAGACTGCCAACGAATCAGGAGAAAGACCTTCAAGTCGAGTGGGTTACAGAGAAGTGTAAACACATGTCTACTATTAGAGGTTACCCGCTTTATACTGGCAAGTGAAATAAAGCATTTATCAAACAGAAGCTCCTTGCGGCCCATTTAAAAACCCTACACGTGTTCTCCAAACATGTTGTCCCCATCTGCTGAAAGTCAGCAGCTCTTCAAAGACCCAGCTGTAAGCCAAAGCTCAGACACTCTAGAGGTCTCAGAATTATTCTCCATGTGGAGTTGAAGCAATTGCTGGTTCTCTAACTTTTAAGCTTCGGGAAACAGCAAAGAAAGTGCACAATGAACAGATGTTGTAGGATGAAATCCAGGTGGGCAACCCTTGCATTTGAACTACATCCCAGCATCTTATCAAAACTGCCTGGCTCCTTCCTGACTTAGCACTTGGCTCTGCGAGTGCTAAGCAGTAGGTGTTCCTCCTACCCCTGCGAACTGTCATTTTGGGCTTTACTGCAGGCTCCTCCCCAACACATCCTCCAAGGGCTGCACATGCAAAGAACGCGGTCCCCTGTAAGTCTCTCTCAGGATGATCTCACCCATAGAAATCTCTAAAGCCAGCTCCCAAAGTTATCCTCTCTGCTGCAGACTTTCCTTCGGAACACTAGACTCATACATTCAACTGCTTCCTTGTCATCTCCACTTGGAGGCCCAATACTTAAACTTTTAAGAAAATTAGCCTTCATTTGCTTTCAAGAATAGTTTTTAATTTTTAAAAATGCTGTGATTACTGTAAAGCAAAGCCAGTTCGGTACAGCACAGAAAGAAAATTAAAAATCATCTCAAAATTCCACCGCACAGAAATAACCAGGTAACATTTATTGAACAATAATTCAGGTATCTCTATACATACGTATCAGGGAAAGAAAGGTAAAAGTCATTTTCCAAAAACTGAGATTGTGTTTCGTATGCCAGTTTTAAATGGAAACCATTACATTTAATTTTAATTAAATTTAACAGGAGAAACTAAAATGTGACCAAAGTAATCACTCAACTTCAGAAAAATGTGTTTTTTTTACACAGAGGCATTAAAGGTATGGGCACTTGTCTTAGTTAAAAATAAATCTTGTATTTATTATATGTATATATGTGTGTGGGTGCATGGAGAGAGTATAGATGTAGATACAGATATATTTTAACAAATTAAGTCTTTTGCTCCATAAAAGTGAGATGTCTTACCACTATTTAGGTTTTCTTTAATTTCTTTCAATAGTGATTTGTATTTTTCAGGGTCTAAGGTTTGCACTTCTTTTTATTATTCCCATGTATTTGTATCTATTGATGCTAGTATAAACGAAATTGTTTTCTTAATTCCATACTCAGGTTGTTAGTGTAGAGAAATAAAAGTGTAGTTTTTATACCGACCTTGTATTCTATAATCTTGCTGAAATCATTTACTAGTTAAAATAGGGTCTATAAGTGTGAATTCCTTAGGATCGTCTATATACAAGACTATGCCATCTGCAGACAGAGATAGTCTAACTTCTCCCTTTTCAACCTACATGTCTTTTATTTCTTTATCTTGCCTAATTGCATTGGTTAGAACCTCTACTACAATACTGGATAGAAGTAGAGAGAGCAGACATCCTTGTCTTGCTCCTGATCTTAGGGGGGGAAATATCCAGTCTTTCACTATTATAAATGTTGTTAGATATAGGTTTTTCATAGGTGCCTTCTATCAGGTTGAAGATGTGAACTTCTATTCCTATCATGAGAAATGGTACTGGATTTTGTCAAATACTTTCTCTACCTCTACTGAAATTATCATTATAATATGGGTTTTGTCTTTTATTCTACTGACACATTACATTAATTGATTTTCACCTGTAAAGTCAGCTTGCATTCCTGAAATGAATCTTGCTTAGTCATGGTGTATAATCTTTTCTATATGTTGTTGGATTTGGTTTGCTGATATTTTGTTAAGGATATTTGCATCTATATTCATAAGAGATATCAGTCTCATAAAATGAGTTAGGGAATGTTTTCCTCCTCTTCTGTATTCTGGAAGTTTTTATAGTATTGCTGTCATTTCTTCCTTTAATGTTTGGTAGAATTCACCAATAAAGTCAACTTGACCTGTAGTTTTCTTTATGGAAAGGCTTTTAACTACAAATTAAATTTCTTTAATAGACACAAGAATATTTTGGTTACCTATTCCTTCTTCAGTGAACTTCAGTAGTTTGTGTCTTTCAGGGAATTTTTTTTTTAAGTGATCACATTTATTGGCATAAAGTTGGTCACAATTTTCCCTTACCACCTTTTTTTCCTTTTTTAAAAAGATTTTATTTATTTATTTGTCAGAGTGAGCACAGGCAGACAGAGTGACAGGCAGAGGCAGACGGCGAAGCAGGCTCCCGCTGAGCAAGGAGCCCGATGTGGGACTCAATCCCAGGACGTTGCGATCATGACCTGAGCCAAAGGCAGCCGCTTAACCAACTGAGCCACCCAGGCGTCCCCCACCTTTTTTTTTTTAAGATTTTATTTTTTAGGGCACCTGAGTGGCTCAGTCGGTTAAGTGTCTGCCTTTGGCTCAGGTCATGATCTCAGGGTCCTGAGATCAAGTTCCATGTCCAGCTTTCAGCCTCTACTTCTATGCTCATTCTCTCTCTCAAATAAATAAAATCTTAAAAAAAAAAAAAAAGATTTTATTTTTTAAGTAATCTCTACACCCAACACGGGGCTCAAACTCACAACCCCAAAATCAAGAGTCACATGCTCCACTGACTGAGCCAACCAGACACCCCTCCCCTCACAGTCTTTTTTTTTTTTTTTAAGATCTTATTTATTTACTTGACACATAGAGATCACCACGAGTAGGCAAAGAGGCAGGCAGAGAGAGAAAGAGGAGGAAGCAGGCTCCCTGCTGAGCAGAGAGCCCGATGCAGGGCTTGATCCCAGGATCCTGAGATCATGACCTGAGCCAAAGGCAGAGGCTTTAACCCACTGAGCCACCCCAGTGCCCTCCCTTGCAGCCTTTTAATGTTTATGAATCTATGGTACCATCTCCTCATCTTGGGTGTTGGTAATTTATGTCTTTTCTTTTATTCTTGTTCAATCTTGTTAATAGTTTACAAATTTTATGGATCTTTTCAAAGAATCCATTTTTAGTTTCACTGATTTTCTCTGTTTATCTCTTTTCTATTTTTTTGATTTTTGTTCTGATCTTTATTATTCCCTTCCTTTTGCTTGCTTTGGCTTTAATTTGTCCTTTTTCTAGTTTCTTAAATTGGAAATTTAGACCATGGATTTGAATTTTTTTTTCCTAATGCACATTTAATGTTATAAATTCTTCTATACATTTTGTTTTGGACATTTAGAAGCTCTATTATTAGCTACATACACTTTTACAATTACAGTGCCTTGTTGATAACTGACTCCTTTCTAGTGTAACTTCTCCCTTTATCACTTGAAAATATTCCTTATTCTAAATTCTACTCTCTGATGTAATAATCACCCTAGCTTTGTTCTGATTATTGTTTACATGGTATATAATTTTACTTTTTGTCAACTTATATATTAATTTTAAATGGTTTTCTTATAGATAGCATATATTAGGGCTTGCATTTTCATCTAATCTGAAAATCTCTTCCTTTTAATTGTTCAGACCATTTACATTTAATATAACCATTACATGATTGGAACCATCTTGCTTGTTTTTTTATTGTCCCATCTGTTGTTTCTTTTTTTCCTCTCTCATTCTGCTTTAAAAGACATTTTTTTAAAATTTATTTATTTGACAGAGATCACAAGTAGGCAGAGAGGCAGGCAGAGAGAGAGGGGGAAGCAGGCTCCCCGCTGAGCCGAGAGCCCAATGTGGGGCTCAATCCCAGGACCCTGGGATCATGACCTGAGCTGAAAGCAGAGGCTTTAATCCACGAGCCACCCTGGTGCCCCTCTCTCTTTCTTCTTTTTTGATGATTCCATTTCATTTCCACTAATGACTGGTTAATTATGTTTGTCTACCTGTCCATTCACCCATGTCCCCATCCTCCATCTCTTGGCTGCCCAAAGGTATGTAATATAGCTCTTTAGTTTATCACGGTCTATGTTCAAATAATATCACACCAATTCATATATAGTATAAATGCTTTATAACAATATACTTACATTTCTTCCCCCATCTTCTGTGCTTTGGTTGTCACACATCTTACTCCTATTGTATATCCCACAATATGTTACTATTATTGGTTTAGGTGGTCAATTATATTTTTTAAAAATTAAAAATAAGAAAAAGTCTTTTATATGTATGCTTGTTGTCACCATTGATGATGATCTTTATCTCATTGTATGTATCTTTATTTTCTTCTGCTTGAAATTTTTTTAACATTTCTTGTTATGCAGGT